TTCCAATTTTTTGTTCAATTGGCTCAGTAAATTTATTTCTGTATTCCAGTGTATCATATAACCTCTTTCTGGTTACCAAATAAAACCAAGACAATTTCACAATGATGTTTCAGTTGGATTTCAGCTCTGAGAGTTTTAAACAACCTTTCTGACAAGCTTTTGCCCAAGTTTACTTCTTGAATGGTCAAAAATCAAAGTTTTAGTTTTCTCTAATCCAGTATTTGGCATTAGGAGCGCCGAGAATAGAAATTCCACGCCACACTAGTTTGAATTTCAACTCTAGTAAAGCTGAGAATAGGAATTTTACAATGTTTCAATTGGATTTTAGCTCTGAGTATTTTCACCACCTCTTGCCCAACTTTACCTGTTGAACGGTCAAAAATCAAAGTCTTATACACTTTTCTAGTTCAATTTTTAGCATTAGGAGCGTCAAGAAAGGAATTTGTATGCCTTTCTTTTCTGAATTTCAGATCTACTAGAGCTGGGAATGAGATTTTTACAATTTCTCAATCTGAGAGGGTCAAACAAGCTTCCTGGCCACCTCTAGCCCTGAAATAACTATCCTGTAAAATCTACTGATCTGTAAAATCTCAAATGATAACTTGGTACCAACAATGTCATGATCACTTACCATGGGAAAGTTTCTTGGTATAGTATTTCCAAACTCAATTGGAACAAGGTACCAACTGGTGGCTGACTGGTCACTGAAAATTTCCATAAGAAATGCACTGCCACCAGTCATACACATGAATTGTGTTCACCTTGTTCCAATTGACTTTGGAAGAACTATACTTCTCTTGCATTAAAATAATTTGTTATTATATGATTGATCAAAGTGGCTGAAACATTGTTTATTCTGGTTTCCTTTTCTACGATTTGTTTAACACCTGTTGCCTGTATTATCCTTTTCAAGTTTTCAGCAGCATCACTTCCATTTTTCAATAAGTTGATAATCAAGTCACCTATGATCATCGTTTTTCGCTGATGAATGCAATCATTGTTTAACTTTTTTCCATGTATCTACTTCAATAATTTCCTACAGTTACCATTAGGCAATCTGCAAATGGCACCCACCATCACACTTTCTGTCTTCATTTGTACCATTCTTCATAATGCCCAATAGTTATAAGTCTATAGCCTGTCTACATATTAACTTTAGAAAACTTTTAATATAAACTGTTGCCCCTCCAGTGTGTGGGCTATATGAATAGCAATTCACTAAATTATATCCAGGCATGGCTATTTTGTCATTCTCTATATCAGCTGTTAAGTGACTCTCACTCACACATACAACATACAACAGAAGGGTTTTTATCTTGAAACAATTGCTGAATATCCTCAACATGCAATAAAAGACCCTGAGCATTCATATGTATAAGCAAAACACTATGCAGTGAGGAAATCCTGTGATCGAAACTGATATTCGGTATTTTTAACACTCACTGGCGTACTTACAATTTGTGCATTCTCTTACATTAGATTTGCAGTCTTCACTTTTGTGGTTCTGACTACAAACTGGACAAACACTGTTTTGCTGTTGACAGTACACTGCCTTATGTCCATATTTCCAACACTTATATACTTACATACACTTTTCTAGTTCAATTTTTGGCATTAGGAGCGCCGGGAATAGAATTTATATGCCTTTCTTGTTTGAATTTAACCTCTGATAGAGCTAAGTATGAGATTTTTGTTGAAGAACATTCTACATCTTTAAGGAAGTCTTAAGAATTAATACGAAAAAGTAGTAATTGAACTGGGTCCAAACAAAGTTCATATAGGATTACTGGAAGGTAAAGCTAATTGGACCACATGGAAGTACAAAATGAACATTCTTCTAGGACGTATTCCAAATGCAGTTGATATTTTGGAAGGAAAGTTGGTGCATCCAATTTTGAAAGAAAATGCGTTAGCAGTCAAAATTGTAAGCCTGGTGAGTTCCAATACTGCAGATTTTAATGCATTTCTCGCTCTTACGATAAATATGACACAAGATACCTTACAAAAAGTTATGAGGTTTTCTACAGCAAGAGAAGTGTGGGTTGAATTGAATAGGCTCTTGCTCAAGAACCTGTGGAATGAGTTGCAAAAGGGATTAACAAAAGACAAAATCTTTACAGATAAAACATGTAATTGTGAGTTACCTGTAAGATTTTAGAAACTCTACCCCAAGACTACTTCTCCTTCAAGTCAAGCTGGATATTAATGTCGAAATCTGTCAGGTCTATAGACAAGTTAACAAATCACAAATGTTTGTAGGCCTTTTGAAAAATCCAAAAGTGGCTATAAATACTTTGTGCTATTCAAGGACGATTTCAGTCGTTATCGTTATGTTTACTTTCTGAAAGAAAAATCTGAAGTTACGAAGAAACTGACAATTATGTTAACTGAAGTAAAAACAGTAGGACTAGGACATACAGTAAACGAGATAATGGTGGAGAATTTGACAATGCTCAAGTAAGAAAAATTCTACAAGAAAGTGGAATCAAACAGAGACTCGTAATACCTTATATACCAGAACAAAACGGTTGTGCAGAGCGAGATAATCGTACTATATCATTGAAACTGCTTGATCCATAATGCATACTAATGAAGATCTTTCACAACTTTTTTGGGTTGAAATAATAAATACTTTGGCGTACATTTTGAATAGGACTGGTAATTCTAGTATTGGAGGAAAATCTCCATTTGAACTGTGGTATGAGAAGAAGCCTACTTTAAAACACATGAAAATTATTGGAACATCCTGTAATGCCCATGTACCAAAGTAAGGAAGAAAGAAAATTGATAAAAAGGCAGTGAAAGAATTTGACAAAGATGATGGATATCGGATTTGGTGTGAAGAATCTAAGAAACTAGTCAGATTGAGAGATGTAATATTCAACGAAAAACTTATAACTTCAACGTTGCCATTGTTGGAAGACCCTGTTGGAACTTCTCAGCAAAACAATTGTATGATTGTTAGAAGCAGGAAATCTACTCCAGAACAAGAAACTAAAGGAAACAATGGACAAGACGGTGAAGAAGATGATAGTTTGGGGAATCACAGTTTTTCAGACATCTTAGTAGAATCACCAGATAATGAGATTTCAGAAGAAGTCCTAAATGTACTGAGACAGCTGATAGATAGAAATCAGATACAAAAGCCTGCCAAGTTTGAAGATTCCGCTATAATGGTTGCTGCAGACATTATGGAAATAAATGAGCCAATTACGTACTGAGAAACTATGTCAAGTAATAGAGCAAATGACTGGAAAATGGCTATGGGAAGTCTTTAAAGGAGAACTGTGTTTGGACTTTAGGAAAGCTACACAATGGTAAGGTAAGAAGGCTATACCAAATAATTGGGTGTACAAGTTAAAATACAATCCAGATAGCTCTATAGATAAATTCAAAGCCAGACTACTCGCAAAAGGTTATTCACAGAAGAAATATCAATATTATGATGAGACATTTAGTCCAGTTACAATATGATCTGCTCTGAATTTATCGGCCAGTAAAAATTTTAAGTCTAAACCAGTTTTTATATGGTGAGCTTCAAGAAGAATTATACATGAAATAGCCACAGGGTTTCAATGATGGTACAGATAGGGTTTGTCATCCAAGGAAGAGCCTATATGGACTTAAGCAAGCTCCTAGGTGTTGGAACACAAGAAGAATAACGGATTTCATTCTATCCTTTGGTTTCAAACAGAGCGATGCCGATCCATGTCTCTTCATGATGGGGGAAGGAACAGAAAATCTTATTTTAATTTTATATGTGGACGATGGTCTACTATAGTTGAAATCACGATAGAAAGTGAAGTTGACAGTCGCGTCGACATTTCTAGTAACTTTTTCTTGAGGTTGCCAGCATGCGTTAGCGCGTCGATTCCGTCAGCAGGGATAAACGACAGGGTCGTATTTAAAAGGAAGTTAAGTTAATCCAAAAATTAGAGCCCAAAGTAAACACTTTTAAAAAGAGTAAACACTTAAATCCAAACTAAAACCAGGTTTGAAACAAACGCAACACCGGAACACAAAGGCACAGAACACTACATACAAAACCAGAAAACCCATTTTGAATATAACAAATCAAAAAATAATGCAGAAAACGGCAAAAATCTGAAACGATTTCACACAAAAATTCGAAATTCAAAATTGAAAGACCCGAATCTGATATTTTTATATGTCAAATCGAAATGTCATGTATCATTATTTGATAGTTGACAGAAAAAGGAACAGAATTGGGAATTTATTAACTTTCAACTGGTGAAAATAACGGTCAAAATTCAAACTCTATCGTAAATTAACTATAGCTTCAAGCAATGAGGAAATGGAAAAATATTTTCTACGACAACTACATTTGAACAAAGCTGGAAGTATGCAAAATTTTACATTTCTGACATTCAAATTTTGTTTCTGACCACGGTTTCTAAAAATTCACCTAAAACTGTACAACTTTTGTATTTATACCTTTCTTCTACCTGTAAAGGTAAAGCCTGTAGATGGGGTGTCAATATATAAAGAAACACCCTGTACACAGAATGTCTACAGAAACTCAAGTTGCTGATATAATGACAAAAGCCTTGTTCAACCCAAAACATGACATTTTATGTGATAATATGGGCCGGCCTAACCAAGATTTCTAATGAGAGAGGGTGTTGAAGAACATTCTATATCTTTATGGTAGTCTTAAGACCAGTCATTTATTTTTATGTTTTAAAAATTTGTATGACAGAGTATAAATTTCTCAAACTTTAACAATTTTTACAATTTCTCAATCTGCGGGGGTCAAGCAACCTTATTGACCACCTCTAGCCCAACTTCACCTCTTGAAGGGTCAAATTGTCCGGTAACATCATATACTATTCACAACTTTGATTACTTTCAGACTAATAAGACAACCAAACCACAATTCTGCTTCTTACATTTTCAACTTTGGAACCATAATTTGTTAATTTTTTTATATATTAATATTATTACATATATTGAAACTGATTAAATTCTCCAACATCCAGGTCTAGCGTGAAGCAATTGAAAATGAGAGCGGGCATGGAACATAGCAGAACCAAAAAACGGAGCAGGCATTCGTTTAGGAAAAAAAGTGCTGAGGTTATCGAAGAGAAATCCAAAGAAGCTCCAACAAATGTAGTTGATATGCAAGGCCAAATTTTACAAATAGATGAGAGTCCTACTACAACAGTTATCGAGGATAATATTGATGCTGAGGAAAAAGAAGGTTCATTGGAAAATAATAGTGAACCAATTATTCAAAAACCACCATCTAGCGAGGTATTAGATACAAATGAAACTTCAAAAGATTATGTGAATCAAAGAGGCATACGGTTTACTCCACAACTTCAAGACGATTTAGTCTTGTTACCTTATGGCCTTGCTTGCGTCAGAGAACTATTCAGGTTAAATATTTAAACACAAAAATCAGATAATACATTTTTTATTTTGTAGATTTCTAATAAGTTTATGTAACCCAAACGACAAACAAAACACCGAAGTCATGATTCATTTAGGCTTAACTCTATTAACTGTAGCTTTTGAAGTGGGTGCTGACAGTATAGGAAAACACGCCACCTTATTGGCTTTAGTCAAAGATGATTTGGCTCGCAACTTATTTTCATTATTGACAAACGAAAGGATTTCGATATTTGCTGCTGACTTGCAAGTGTCTTTTCTAATGTTTGAATCACTCAGAATCCACTTGAAATTTCAAATGGAAAAATACCTAACAAAACTAATTGATATTATTGTAAGCGATAATCAAAAAATTAACAATTACGAGCATAAAGAAGTTGCTTTAGATAACATATTACAATTATGGAGAATACCTGGTTTTGTAAATGAACTTTATCTTAATTACGATTGCGACATGTACTGTACTAATTTATATGAGGATTTAACTAAATTGCTGGCTAAAAATGCTACTAATGGAATTTGGCACACACACCTAATGTCTTTGGATGCTTTATTAACTGTCATTGAAGGCATAGAAATGCATTGTTTTGAATCTAAAACAAAAAACATAATAGGCAAAACTATAAGACAAAATTACAGTGACAATTTGCCTGCACTAGATGATCTATTGGCCAGAAAAAATATTAAAAAGTGGCTACCTCAAGGTACCGAGCACTTCAACACAAAACCCAAAAAAGGTATTCAATTTTTCCAAGAACATGGTGTTCTCAAACCTGAATTAGACCCACATGAAGTTGCAATGTTTCTACGAGAAAATCCAGCTTTAGACAAAAAAATGATTGGCGAATACATAAGCAACAGAAGCAACCTAAACATCCTTGAAGCCTTTGTAAAAACCTTTAATTTCAACGGAGTAAGAATTGATGAAGCCTTGAGAAGCTTTCTAGAATCGTTTAGATTACCAGGCGAAGCCCCAACTATTTCATTAATCCTGGAACAATTTGCTGAGCATTGGCACCAAAGCAACAATGAACCATTTGCTGACGTAGACTCAGCATTTACTCTGGCTTATGCTGTAATCATGCTCAATGTGGATCAACATAATCAGAATGCCAAAAAACAATCAAATCCAATGTCGGATTCTGCATTCAAAAAAAACCTGCAAGGAGTTAATGGTGGAGACAATTTTGAAGAATCAATGTTGAATGAAATTTATCATGCCATTAAGGGAGATGAAATTGTAATGCCTTCGGAACATGGTGGCTTGATTCGTGAGAATTATTTGTGGAAGGTTTTGTTGAGGAAAGGGGCTTCAAATAAAGGAGATTATTTTCATATACCTCCAGGTAAAATTGCTTTGTTATAATTTGATTACATAGATTTAAATGATTTTTTTCAGGTACTTATGATTCTGAGCTATTTCGTTTAATTTACGATCCGATTGTGTCTGCATTGTGCTTCATTTACGAACATACAGAAGAGGATTCGGTGTACAAACACGTTGTGAGCGGATTTGAAAAGTGCGCCTTGGTAGCCGCCCATTTTGGTATGACAGCGAATTTGGATACTTTGATTTTGTCTTTGTGCAAGTTCACCGTTTTTTATAATCAGAGGAGACAGAATAATATTATGGTGAGATACTCGTATTTATATATTTGATAAAAATATGGCTAAAATACATAGCGGATAGATTGGATTAGATTAGATTAATATTGAGGTGTTGTTGCACTGCGACGTCTGCCCCCTGCTGAGGCCGATTTGATGTGGATCTCAAATCATAGTACTTCGTTCAGTCCTATGGCCTTGATGAAGGCTAGTAACTGGTACGGTGTCAAGGATGGTATGTTTCCTTCTAAAATTACATACCGTGCGTTCGGTATTTAGATCTGAGCTGTCCGAGTTTGAATATACCGTTCGGTTATTTAAAAAGTTTACTCGGAGCAGGCTCATTCGCGTTTGTTTATTAAAATTTCTGGCACTCTGATACAGTGTTCAACTGCTCTGTTCGCTCGCTGGTTACGTGATTACGGCTCCGCTTAGCACACTCTGCTCTTTGAACGCAAGAATAGTCACCGAGATGTGTAGCCCGGCTTCTAGCGACGACTTCGCATACGGTTAGTAGGTGTTCTGGATTTTCATCCTCCTCCCCGCAAAACCTGCATTCACTGGATCTCTCGAATAGCATTTTCCTGCGGTGTTCTCGAAGGTGGCAGTGCCCTGTCATAAACCCTGTAAGAATTCTGAGTTTAGTTTTACTTGAATTTACTAGAGCTTTGGATTTTTTGGGATTGAAGTTTTCAAGGAATATCTTAGAGTGTCTCAGTCCCGGAAGGTCGTCCCAGAGGCGAGCTCTTAGGTCGTCTTCCATTTTCTTAAGCTCCGCTGTATAAGTGTTTTTTCCTATACCGCAAAAAGACTCCGGTCCTGCAAACGGGGAACTGGATCCTTTCTTTGGCTTCTTCGTTACCTTCCACTCCTGTGTGTCCAGGCACCCACAGTAAAGTGACTTTATTTTTCTTTCGTACCTCATTTAGTTTCCTTAGGCAATCCCGTACTATCTTAGAACTGATGACCTATGAACTCAGTGCCATTATGGCCGATTGACTGTCGGTGAATATTGCAATATCTTGCTTGAGATAGTTCCTGTTCAGGATAATTTGAACACATCTGTCAATGGCGTGTATTTCCGCCTGAAAGACACTGGTGTATTTACCCAGTGACTCAAAATATTTGGTGCAAACTCCAAATACTCCAGCTCCTGATCCTTTGTCGGTTTTCGAACCGTCTGTGTACCATTCAATGGTGTTTTCTTTGAGAGATTCGGTGATCTTGCCGCTTTCCCACTCGCTTTTATTATCAATCCTTGTGAGAAAGTTTCTCTCAAAGTGATATTCTTTGGTTATATCGTCTTTAGGAAGATCAAATAAGGGAATACACCGTGTCTGGGATGACCATGCTCCTTAATCGATGATGTCCTTAGCCTGGGTCCTATTACTAGCTAGTCTAAACATAGCCTTTTCTGCAGCTTCCTTCACCGACAAGTGCAAAGGTGTGAGGTCAAGTATGACGTTCAACGCTGCTGTTGGACATGTTCTCATGGCTCCTGTAATACATACACTTGCCAGTCTTTGCGATTTATCAAGTGCTCGCCTTGTAGTGCTTTGTTCTGCTATGCCATACCAAACTGCTGCCCCATATGTGATTATGGGTTTTACCATCATAATGTACATCCACGGCAGTATTTTTGGTGTACATCCCCAGTTTTTACCCGCCAAGTTTCTGCACACCATAATGGCTTTAGTAGCTTTTTTTCCATAGAAGTTTACTATCCACTGTTACGCCCAGATATTTGACTTTGTTTGCTTGATTTACAACCTCTCCACTTAGGTGAATTTCCCTAGTAAGTTAAATTTTCCTTCTACGTGTAAATGGTACAATAGTGGTTTTTGCTGAGTTGATGCTCAGCCCCACTGACGTGCATCATTCTTCGGTAGTACTTAGGCCTTTTTGTATGAGGTCGTATAGTGTGCCCTCAAACTTGCCTTTGGCAATAATGACAATATCATCGGCGTAACCTATACAAGCTAGACCCTAATTTGTTAGTCTGGACAGGAGTTCATCAACTACCAGGCTCCACAACAGGGGTGAGGTTACTCCTCCTTGAGGTGTACCACGAGTGGTTCTGATGCTTGTGGTTTGTTCACCCACAGTTGTCTCAGCTGTTCTCGTAGTCACCATTTCACAGACCCACCGGACTATGGTTTTATTCACTCCTCTCCTCTCCAGAGCAATTTTTACCGCCCCATGGGACGTGTTATCAAAAGCCCCGGATATATCCAGGAAGGCACATATGGCTGTTTCTTTTTCTTTAAGGGTTTTTTGGATGATTTCTGTAAGTTGATAGAGCGATATTTCAGAGTTGGTAAGACCAAGGAATCAAAGAGATGCAAACTGACACCCACAAGTTTCTTGTGATGCGAGCTATAATTCCCGAAATCTTTTGGGTATTGTCAATTTTTGAGATAACACCGTTTGAAAAAGATAATTTTGGATCAAAAATTATTCCCAGGTCTTTTTCAATGCTGAGTCTTTCAAGTGGCAAGCCATCCAATTCATGACATTATGGTTTATAGTGAAAGAATAGTGAAAAAATTTGTAAAATATTACAGTCTCCATACAGTGCTTGGGCATTCTTGACTTTATTAACTATACTATTTATAGCAACCAAGAACAAGAGGACTCAAGTTTGAGCCTTGACGCCTGAAGTAATTTTGTAGACAGTTGACTTGCATCCCTTCATCTCCACATACCGGTATCTTTGTGAAAGGTAGGATTTAATTAAGTAGGGAGAAACATCCTTATCTGACTTTGAGAATTACGCAGTGCCACATCAAATGCTTTTTCCATGTCGACAAATATTACGTCTACCTGAGATCTGTTATTAATTGCTTCATACACATACTGTGAAAATTGTATAGGATTTGTCAAAGTTGACTTTTTTAGGAGAAAGCCATGTTGGCATGAGGTAATTTGCCTAAGACTTCGTCAAACAATTTCTCAACAACCGCAATCTCAAAAATCTTTGAAACTGCGTTGACAATAGTTATTGGTCGATCATTTTTGATATCCTGCCTGGAACCGGACTTATGAATCGGGGTAACTTTACTGATTTTCCTCTGATCAGGATATGTAGATGACTTTAAAATTAAATTAAACAAAAAATTTAAAGGCTGCAGGAGAATGTTCTCTATATCCTTTTAGAATATAAGCAGGAACCCCATTAGGACCACCCGGCAACTCTTAATGGCCAACAAGACACCCTCACCCTAAGACTTCCCACTTAACAATTTATTTCAAAGCAGAACTCAGCGGAGGCGATAGAATTTAGCCAGATCTCAGAAACAACCACAATGTCATGATCGTTGTTTGAAATATTATCTCTAAGTATCCAACTTAGTTTTAATTTAATACATCTGCAATTTTGGTAAAAGACAAAAATGTCACTTAACTTAACTATTGACTCTTAAGTATTTGCTATAACTATTGACGAAAATTTGACTCCAATAAAGATGCAGAAAGAGTACTGACCATTGGAGACTCGCATTTAGGGGATAAGCAAACATGATGACCATCCGAAAAGTCAGCAATCAAGATTGGTGAGTGGTAGGCAAAATATTACTATCAGCAATTTCAATATGCGTTAGGGTTTCACAATTAGAAAAAGTGAGAAAAACATTATATTTATCTGTGCTGAAATATTCAAGTTCCAACTACACAATTCGGGGTTTTATTCCTACAAACGTCATCTTATCCTGCAAAAAAGATTATAGTCCTTATCGTTAAAATCAGCAGATAACACTGAAACATCCCCGACAACATCCTCATACAAAGCAAATGGTTTGATAATGGTTGGATTGAATATTTTGAAGAAGGAAGTTCCAGGTCCACAGATCTAGGATCTGATACCTTTATTGCCACCCGCCTTTCAGTTTTGGCTTCTGATGCCCGAAATTGGTGCGCATACCCACTATATAGGGAAACCACCTGTCTCGGTAACTAGAGACCCCTTACAACACATCGCCAAATGAGTCGCGTCGCATTCGCATGTGCAGGTACCATCTGTCTGGCGGAATTTGAACCTGTGTTCATAATTTTCAAAGTTGCCATGTCAGGTCAGTAGTTGTGTAGCTTTAAAACTGAGATCCACTCTATCCTGCCCCACGTTTTGGCAGTGGCTATATAGCTCTTTCCCCTTTGTCCCGCTGTCCCATGCTCTCTGCCATCTCTCTACCACCCTACCTTACGTGTAACCCTGTTGTTCTGATAGTACTCCTTTTAGATCTTCGGACACCTCTGCTTCCTCCCTCGCAAGTCTTGCCAGAGTGTTCGTCCGCAAGCCTCAGTATTCTGGCATTCAGCCTGTCTTTTATGGACCCTGAATTGATTCTATCCAGTGCCTACTTCCTATCTGTGGTTATGGCAATGTTCATGTTCGGTGTCTGCAATCCTATCTGGATGCCTTTTAGGATTGCCATCAATTCCGCTCTGTCCGTGGTATATTGTTGGGCGCTCTCAGCTTAAGTCTGATCTGTTGTCCTTTCAGCTGCGCAAAGACGCCGAGACCGGTTTTGCCTTTATGCAATTTTCCGCTCTCATCAGCTTGAGCCTTCCTCTAACAGTTGGGTGGGGTTTGTGTATAGTCTTGACTTTGACGGCCTGTATTTCCTCGTATTGCGTTACCCAGTCTCGTCGTTTTTCTTCCGCTTCAATCCACAGTGGAGGGAAACCTGGACCAGGACCTGTAATGCACTGTTTGGTGCCGTGGCGTAGGCTCTACACGTAAGGAGCAACAGTGGCCTTGCTGCTGCATCCAGGTGACTTCTTCTCAGCGTCGTGTCCGCTCTGCCTCCCCAGATCTCACTCGCGTAAAGAATGGCCGACTTAAGAATCTTGTCTAGTATTTCTCTGAGAACGGCTCGGCTATGTCCCCATTTTCTCTTTATTAGCTTGTGACTTTGACAAGCAAACAAAGGATTTGTGTGCCTCTTGGCGGACATTTTAACAGTCGCACCTGGAACAGGGGGGTCAGGCAATGACCCCAGTTTACTTTTTTCAGCGTTATTTTACTCATTTTTACTTTCTCTTCAAAAACCATTTAGGACTTTTATTTTACGTGTTTTTTCAACCCGTAGACATAAAATTTGTTGGGATTGGTAAAATCTTTGACCTTTGCCAGACGTTTTTTATTACGCGTACAGTCGTCGGCTTGGCACAAGAAAATGGCCGATGGCGGTTTTTTTAATTTGATTGATATAGTTACCTATAACTCCTACATTCTTTTCATAAGAGCTAACGAGAACTGGACAAGAGATCTAGGAGAAAAGTTCTTCTATAAAATGCTTAGGCAAGGAGTTGTGTCAAATTAATATGGGTAATCGCTCAAGGTATAGAGGACTCCAAAATAAATATATAGCTACTTTGAAAATTAATTTTGAATAAGATATTTTTTTTACAAATCACTTACTCGATGAGTCTCTAACCTCCCTGTTCCGAATTCAAGATCCCACTGCCCGGAAATTGTTTCCTGTCAGGTCTGAGTGTAGTTTCCATTTCTTAGGTTGCCAATCGTTCCTGGAGTGTCCTTGGAAAATTATAGAGCCTGGTACATTGAGGACTCTGTTTGACCCCCTTAAAGTATCTTCTCCATGATTCCTTCTTGGATGCTCTCAGACATTTGTTATATTCAGTCAGGGAATTACAGTCTTGCTCCACTGTTGTTTGCTTTGTTGAAAAGTTTCAGGCGGATGTAACAGCGGTCTGCAATTGTTCCGCAGCAAGGTCTAAATCTATGGTGTTTCTTATCGTCGTTTTTACGGCCCGCAAATTGTCTGGCAGGCTTCCCAGTTTATTCTGCAGGGGTTCTTCAAGAATGTGTTTTGTAATTTTAAAGCAAATGTGTCTGTGATCTGAACAACTCACCTCATTAATCACATGCCGCTTTTTCACGAAGCCACCAACAAATGTTTTGGATACCGTGATGTCGAGTACCTACCTCCTTTCTAACACTTGTTATAAAGGTAGGTTTATTTCCCATGTTTAATATGTTTAAAAAACTATTTGCCGTAATAAATTATAATAATGACCACTCTATTGTTGGTGTTTGTGCTGCCCCATATAGTATGGTGCGCATTCGCATCACATCCCATTACTTTTGTGCATGATTCCCAATGAAAATATCAAAACCAACAATTCTTTCCAGATATTATTCGGTTCGAATAGAAAAGCTCAACTAGCCCTAAAAACAGTATTCAGTTTGGTGCATCTAAACGGCGACAATATAAGACAAGGCTGGAAATATATATTCGATCTAATCCTAGCCTTATACAGCAACAACTTACTACCAAAATCCTACATTGAACCGGAAGATTTTATAAATCAAAGCGGCCATATAGTCCTAGTCTATGAAGAAACTGAAAATTTACAAAAACAAGAATCAGGTGAGTACTTAAACATTTGCCTCCATAATTATTATTAATCAAAGATAAATTTAGGTTTATTTAGTTCTATCTACTCCTACATGGTTTCGGCAGAAAACTTGTCTAAAATCCCTTCACCTGAAGAGCAACAATTTATGGATTTGGCCAAAGAATGCATCAAAGACTGCAATTTGGATCAACTAATAACAGACTCAAAATTCCTGCATGAAGAGGCTTTAGTGGAGTTAGTAAAATGTCTTATAGAGCTATCAAGAGGCCCAGATGTTCAAAAAAGCTTAGGATACAATTACAATGAAAATGTTACTGTGTTTTTCATGGAACTATTATTTAAAATTGTTATTCAAAACAGGTTTGTCTTGTACATAAGGCCTAAAAATTTTTAAATAATTTTATTTTTATTATAGGGATCGTGTGATAACAATATGGCAACCAGTATGTGATCACATTTACACTTTAGTAATGAACGCTTCAGTTTTCGACTACCAATTCCTTCTAGAACGCTCTGTTATTGGCCTATTGAGAATAGCCATAAGATTAATGCGAAATGAAGAAATGTGCCCCATAGTCATACAATCTCTAAGAATGTTGTTGCTATTAAAAAGTACCACTCTATGTAGAATCTCCAAACAAATTTCCTACGGGCTTTACGAGCTACTAAAAACTTCAGCTCAAAATATTCACACCACAACAGATTGGACTATAATTTTCACTTTATTAGAGTGCGTAGGGGCAGGCGCTCAGCCTCCAAAACCTGTAGCAGACGATGGCAGCACTTGCGCAGACCAATCAAAGTCAGATGGCGAAAATCAAATAAACAGCGACGAAGAAAGTGTAGTATCAGACAGAGGCTACACCTCAGATTCTGAACTAACAAAAAAACAAAAAGCAATTCTGGCAACTTCTCCCTGTGGCACTCCAAACACAGGAGGCTGGATTTTGGTGGGCAACGAAGGCGAAATTGTTGGTCGAACAGTGCCTCCGACACAATACGGCATTGCTTTGGAAAGAAATTTAGGCCCACACGATTCAATGAGTTTGATAAAATGCTGCGAAAGCTTGGCATTTTTAGTTAGAGACGTGGCCCACATAACACCGTACAATTTCGACATTTGCGTACAATGTATAAGGACTTTTGTTGAGGCAAGCCTACAAACTGACAACAAAAAACGCAAAAGAAAAGTCGCCTCTCGTAGGAAATCCGAATTAAGAAGTCCTGCGGCTAGTAGTCCAAGCTGTAGTGAAGATGACGATTTTCCTAGTGGTTATCATCATTTGCTTTTAGACTTGATGCATACGTTGCACACGAGGACTGCTCAAATTTTCAAATGGTGGGCGGAGGAAGGCGGCGAAATCGCTCAAGAAATGTCACTGTGGACTCAAGGTTGGTGCCCCTTATTACAAGGCATTGCCAGGATGTGCTGCGATCGCCGTGAAGAAGTCCGGATCAGTGCGATTGCTTTCTTGCAGAGGGCGTTGTTGGTGCACGATTTGCAAACTTTGAACGGTTTGGAGTGGGAACAATGTTTTCATCGGGTGTTGTTTCCGTTACTCAATTACTTGTTGCAACCGAGCGGTTCTAAGGGACCCATTGCGATGGCTGAGTTCAGGAATAGGGCTGCCACTGTATTATCTAAGGTAAGTTTGAGTTTTTGAGAATTTGTACAGTAGACTCTTGATTATCCGGGCGCTGTACCCTACTTCGGATAAATGGCGGTTTGCATAATTCGGATTTTTATACCTATGCACTAAATATGCAACCTGAAGGTTATAAACACAAACATTTAAGTATGCAGATAGAAATGCATCAAAAAGTGATGTTTGTGCTGCTTTGGCAATTCTGGGATTCCCCGTAATTACTTGAATAATACGGCGTCGCTCGGTTAATATGGATTTTAACTATGGTATTACTCAACTCAGATAATCCAGCAATCGGAAAATTGAGAGTCTGATAATCGAGAGTCTACTCTATTTGTGAAATGATTTATTTCTACATTCATTCAAAAAATGTACCTTATTGGCACTTATTGAATCTATGTGAAACTATTTTATTATGAATGCAAATGGAAAAAATCAAATTTTGTTTAAGGTATTCTTACATCATTTAACACCCCTACTATCTCTGCCAACATTCCCCAATCTTTGGACAAACATTCTGGACTACATGGACAGGTACATGCACGCTGACAAAAGCGACATCTTATCCGAAGCGATTCCTGAACTCTTGAAAAACATGCTGCTGGTAATGAACTCGGCCAAAGTATTCGACAATGCCGAAGGCAAAAATCAACTGTGGCACCACACTTGGGAGAAAATCGGACGGTTTTTACCCAATCTCAAAGAGGAACTATTCAAGGAACCTGTAAAACTCAAACCTATTATACAAGATGAGGTAAGATTTTGTTGAGTTTTTTATATGGTTTAGAATTTAGGTATACAATATTGTAGAGCGATCAACAAACAATTAATCCAATGCAACATAATATTGAAAATTTAACCAGATCAGTGGTTTTACAGCAACAACAGCAAGTGTCTTCTCATTTATTTGCCCATTTGGGCCAGGTACGCTTGCATGCACCTGATTTTCTAACATAATCAAGTAGCTTTGTGTCAATTATTAAAATGTTCCAGATGGTTTCAACACCAATTGGTTCTACACAAACACCTTCTACATCTATACTACAACCTACTCTACAACCTGGAATGCCTTATATGCCTAATTTATTAACTAGTGCAAATCAGCAACAAGGTGGTTTTTGCAATAATTTTTATAAAATTCATATAATAACTGGAATTATTTTAGGTCAACAACACGCATTTCCAGTTTTATATAACAGTCCCACAGTTATACCAAGTACCACCACAACCGAAATTCAACCATTATCATTGTATGCCGAATTTTTAGGAAATCCTTATAATTTGGACAAGAATTTAGAAGCCGTAGACAATGCTGAATCAAACTTTTTCCAGTCTTCAAACTATTTCAACAATACAATTATGCCAGCCGGAAGTGAAATTTTGTTTGGCATGGATAAGGATTGTAATAATATTGTTGAAACAAATTCTACTGGGACAAGTGTTTGATGTTGAATTGGCCACAATATCTAGTCAACTAAAGCCTCATTTGTAAATATCGGTGTTATTAATAATATGTAATAAGACAAAATATATATCGTATTTGTTAGTCTATTTATTTGTAAAAAAATCAAGCTTTCACTCGTTCCTTTTTCTTTTTCGCAACCACTTCCTCAATTTTAGCCTTCCTCTTAGCGTGTATTTTTTGTTTTAGCTTCTTCTTCCTCCTTTCGCGTTTCTTATCTGTTCCGGTTTTCTCTCCTTTGCCCAAAACGTCTCCTTTAGTTTTATTTCTTATTTCTTCTGGAGCTAACAAAGCTCCATCACTAGTTGCTACAGGTGCAACTTCTTCCATGTTAACGGCTGGCAAATTGCTGACGATTTTGAGTTCGGGTATTGCAGGAGTTGAGGTGAAATGATAGTTGGACAAGGCATCTAGTTTGTTGAAGAGTGATTTCATTAGTTTTTTTAATTCTTTGTGAGTTTCTGGTTCTTTTTCTGGTGCATCTACATTGTCTTTGTCTAATTTAGCTTGTTGCTCTAAAAACTCCTTTTCATAAATGTTAGCCAAAGACTCTTTGCTTTTCTCTTGATCCAAAACAAGCTTCTTTCTATACTCCAAAGGAGTCTCTATTGGTCTACTGATTTTCTCTACACTATCAAATGTTTTATTTTTGATTCTTTGCCTAATTATGTCTTCTAGTTGCAAAGAGGTTTGTTCAGTTATAACAGGCGCAGGTCTTGTGGTCAAATCAAACTCAACTATTTCTTGTAATAAGGAGTTTTGAGGACGACTTTCTGCTGTTATTTCGCCTTTCAATTGCCAGGATTTTTCCGTTATTGCTTGTTCTTCGAGGTCCTCAATCTTTTTTTGTAATCTTTCCTGTCTCAACTCCAAAGTTGATTTTACATCGTTTATTAAATCATCATCATCATCATCATCATCTTCTTGATCTAATTCCTCCATTAATCTGAAATAAATAATAATTAATATATTTAAATTATACATGATGTAATAAAGTAAGTACTTATTGGTTTTTCGTTTTGGTGGAATTTCATCGTCCTTGGAAACAAAGTAATCTTTAAATTTAGCAATTTTGGCTTCGTCTCCGCTACTGGCCTCGCTTTCTTCTTCGAAAAGGTCCACGCTTCCTTCTTCGTCTTCGTCAGATTCAGATTCTGAGCCTGATTTTTTGGGTTGTTTTGGGTTTTCTTCTCTGTCTAAAATAATTGAATGAATTCAAGAATAGAATTTTATTTACGGACAAGCCATTTAACAGTAGGTACAGGGTGTTTTGTTATATATTGACTCCCCACCTACAGCCTTTACCTTTACAGGTAAAAGAAAGGTGTAAATACAAAAGTTGTACAGTTTTAGCTGAATTTTTAGAAACAAAATTTGAATTGTTAGAAAGTTTTTCCAGGTAATGTGAAATCAGGGACACAAGAGTCCCTGTTTGGAAATCGACTCGCTGAGTAGTGGGCCCTGCATTCCCATGCCAGTCTTTGACGCGTTTCGTCCTTGTTAGGACTCATCAGAAGGACATAGGCTGAAGCTCCCTGTCCAAGCAAAATTGAACTTCGTTGACCAGTCAGAAACAACTACTCCATGAGCAATCCGAAACAGGGACTCTTGTGTCCCTGATTTCAAATCAAATCAAATCAAATAACGCTTTATTGTCTAAAGAATAAACTCATTGACAAAGCAAATATAAATTTAACCCTAAATTCTAAATCTTAGCAATACTCAATACAAAATAAATTATAGACACATAACTTAGGGCTAGTCAATTGTTCAAATATACTACAAATACTATTCCGATTAGATAAAATTAAGTTAAAATACAAAATTTACACAAAAACAGGAATACTTTTTTAAAATCTCGATATAATAGTTAAACAAAACAATCAAAGTAAAAATTAATATAAGATTAAACGACTAAAAAACATCCTTATAGAACTCTTCTAAACTATAGTATGCCTTCAATTTTAGAACGGACTTTACACATTTTACAAAACTCTTAAGATCATGGAGACCCTTCCACTCATCCGGCAAATGATTGTATATCTTTAAACTTTCATACATTAAAGAGTTTTTGGTAAAACCACTCCTGGGTATTGGTAATGGTATATTATGTCCATAACGTGTGTTGTGGATGTTGGGATTTATAAAATTTCTATACTTTTTGTGCACCAAGGAGACAGTCTCCAAAATAAAAATACATGGCAATGTAAGGATTTCTTCCTGAACAAACAATGGCCTACAATGGTCCCTAGCCTTCAATTTGCATAAATACCTAAGCGCCCTCTTCTGTAGGACAAACACAGAATTAAAAAGTTGTTTGTTACAAAAACCCCAAAATGCAATCCCATATCTCAAATGAGACTCGACAAGTGAATAATATACCGACTTAGCCATGAGTGACCCCAGCCGCCCCGTGACAATACGAACAGCGAAGCATCCAGATGCCAATTTCTTGTTCAGACACAATATATGCTCTTTAAATTTTAAATCCGAGTCTATGTGCAAGCCCAGAAACCTGCAGCTAGCCTTATTTGCCACGAAATAATTGTCCACACTCAGATCATCCAACACAAACCTAAAAGAAATAGCACTAGTTTTATTTAAATTGAAACAAAGTAAATTTGCGTCGCACCACTCCTTCACACGTCGTAGGTCTTCAATTATGATATCTTTTAATAAACTAGCATCCTCATCAAGCCACAAGATGGTCGTATCATCTGCAAAAATGGTAAAACGGCCTCGAATATCTAGTCTAGCCAAGTCATTCAAGTACAATAGAAAAAGAACTGGGCCAAGAACCGAACCCTGGGGAACACCGTGTCTCATTGACAGTTCATCTGAGCTACCATCCTCAGAACAAACCACCTGTTTCCTACCTGACAAATAAGACGAAAACCAGTCATACGCCACTCCCCTGAAACCATACTGATGCATTTTCTCCAGCAGTATTCTGTGATTTACGCAATCAAATGCTTTCGAAAAATCACAGAAAACCGCTGCAGCCATACTTCCTCCATTCAGACCGACGTACACACTCTCCAGAAGCCTGAACACCGCATCGCTAGTACCCTTAGAGGCTTGAAATCCAAACTGACAACTAGTCAGGATATTGTGACTAGACATGAAGGCTTCCATTCTTTTCTTTACAAGCTTTTCAATGATTTTTGAAAGCGTAGGTAACATTGAGATTGGACGAAAATCAGCAGGGTTTTTCGGATCACCACCCTTAAACAGCGGAACAACAACAGCGGTCTTGAGACTAGAAGGAAAACAACCATCGTCAAAAGATTGATTTATTAACATTACCATAATCTCCAAAGCCTGTCTGGGCAAAGCCGCAAACACTCTGAGTGTAAGGTCATCTATGCCAGAGGAATTTTTACTTTTTATCTCTCCAAGGATACCACATATTTCATCAATATCAGTATGTATCAAATAAAAACTGTTCGGTACAGAAACCTCCTGCAGGTACAACATTGGATCAATTTGTGAATTTAAATTTGCTGTTAGTCCATCAGCAACGGAACAATAAAAATCGTTTAATGTGTTAGCATCAACATCAACTTTAGTCTTTGCTGAGCTTGATTTTCCCCGCAAACAGTTTACTATTTTCCAATTCTCTTTAGTTTTATTTTGCGCCCTATCAATCCTATCCCTGTAATACCACTTCTTGGCTGTCTTAATAGTACTCCTATAAATATTTTTGTACCTATTAAAATAGGCCAAGAAAGCTTGGTTTAAAGTGAATTTTCTTATCCTATGCAGACATCTTAAATTTACTGAGGAGTTTCTTATTCCCGAGGTAATCCAGGGCTTTTTGTTTTTCTGCTTTAATTTACGGACAGGAAAATTTGCATTAAAAATTTCAACAACTATACTATTAAATTTATCTAATGAGTTATCCAATCTCAATAATCCCTGCCAATTTATTTTCACAGCTTGTTCCCTAAAATGTCCAAAGTTTTCAGTACTGTAAATTCTTCCATATCTAAAGGTTTTTGATTTTTTTTCCTGGTGTACATAAATAGATGAAATTATAGCCTCATGGTCAGAGAGATCCGAGGAAATCACAATAGTTTCAGCCCCAAATATGTCCGAAAAATTTGAACAAAGATAATCAATAGTGGTACTGGAATATTTTGAGATACGGGTGGGCTGCTTAATGAGCATCTGCAAATTAAAAGAAATCAGCAAGTCCTTCAGATTCTGAGTGCACATTGACTCAGAATCCTCGTAATTAATATTCAAGTCACCGGCCACTAAGATTTTAGCATTTACTGGTAAGTCCGATAAAAGAATTTCCAGTCTGTCCATAAACTCTTTAATGGTTCCGCTTGGAGGTCTATATACACACAGAATATACAAATTTATCTTAGTAAAATGAACTATTGAAAACTCAAACACGCCTTCAACAAGTAAAAATTCGTATTTACTAATATTAACTATAGAATAAGACTCACACAACTCAGCAGTCATAAGTATCATTGTTCCCCCATGTGCAGACTCTCCTCGACAAAAACTAGCGACTACCAAGTAATTGGGAATGTAGCATGGCTCGTCTGGTTTCAGCCAGTGCTCTGTCAATAATAAAATGCTCGGCATGTTTTGCGTTTCCAAAAAAATAGTTAACTCGTCCACCTTGTTTCTTACAGACTGAATATTCAATAATAACAGTATTATATTTTTTTTGTGTTTTCTTTGAGAAGGTTGTCTAAAAAAGAGTGAGAGGTTGAAGTTTCTATAATCTCGATTTCTCTCGGCGCATCACTCGTCAGAGAGGCAGCTGAGACACCCGAAGTCAACCTTCCCAAATCGCCTATTAATATTTTTGAAAAATGTAATTGCCTTAAATTGCTCATTGGAGCCTTTGAGAAATATGTGATGATTGAGTTTTTTAATAAAGTAGACAATTTGTACAGTCCCGCTACATTCAAGTAACAACTATTATTAACAAAATGTTTAAACAAAAATCTATTGTGCAAGTCAAGAAGATCGACATTCAAAGAAAAATGTTTTAAATTATTAATTACAGCATTAAACCTAGTGTTAACATCTTCAATATAATTTAATGATTTATTACATCTACTATTTACAGGCAGGGTACTTAAAATAAGATTTGTATAAAAGCATTTGTTAGTCAGGGAGGTAATATCATGTATGCTGATATTTTTATCATTCAAACCTGCCAAAACAATAACATAGTCCTCGTTTGTATAGTCCCTGATGTAACAATCCATGCTGGAAACAACTTCCTTAAATCTTGCATAAGGTTTGCTAACAATTTGGACAATGAAATTACAACCAAGAGTATTCTGTAGAGGCTCCAAAAGTCTTCTCCCACAGTCATCGGTCAGAACAAGAATTTTGATGAGTTTTTCAGGTTTTTCAAATTTTTTTGGTAGCCTTCCACTATTTTCCATCTTTCCACTTCCTTCTGTACTCAAATCCTTATTATTTTCTACCTGCTTCTGTTTTTCCATTTTCTTATTTTTGCTGTCCTTGCGTAGATCTTCTTTCTTCTTTTCCAATTCATTCTTTAATTTTCTTTCATTTTCTGCATAAATTTTATTATCTGCCTCAAGTATTACTAGTGCGTCCTTCATCTGATTTTTGACCATTACAAGATCTGAGAAGTCTTCCCTTAGTTTCATAATAAATTCCTCACTGTCATTTATCTGATTAATAAGATCTTTGTTCTTTTCTTTTAATTCCTTAATAAGTGGTTTTAGGTTAATCTCTTCGTCCGTTTGTTTTTTTTGTGTTTTTATTTTTATTTTCAGTTGTTCAATTCCATTTTTAAGTTCATCAATTTTTTTATCTTTTCCTGTAATCTCTTTCAAAAAACTCTCTTCGGTTCTTGAAGCGTCCTCCATTAATGACATTGAACTTCGTTTTACTCGTGCCATATAGTTATCCTTGTCTATTATTTCTGTTTTTAAGTCTTCAATAACAGATTTCAATATGTCAAAAGTGTCTGGCTCATTCTCAGCTGCTGCATCCATACAGTTTCGGGAACATATTGCTAAACTGTCCCTTACGATGGTATATTGTTTGTTCATCCTTGTCCAACAGCTTCTATGAACTACATTTTTACATACGACACAAAACAATACAGTTGATTCTTTATTTTTGCAACATTTAAAAAACGACATTTTCGGGT